ATGAGAGGAAATACACTTTGGTACCTGTCTATTAGACTGAGGAGGAAGAATGAAATGATGTCTTAGTGGTCCATAGATAGAGGTTCTTTAACTTCTCCTTCTTTGGAGGCTTTTAAACTCCTTCTTTGGAGGCTTTTATACAGAGGCTGGATAGCCATTTTTGTGGGTTCTTTGATTGTGCTTTTCCTGCATGGCAAGGGGTTAGACTAGATGGCCCATGCCATCACTTCCACTTTTATGATTCTGTGGTTCTAATTATCCAAACAATTGACATGGCCTTTCATAAAGTATCAGATATAAGCCAAGATCAATCGAATAACAGGTTTAACAAGTAACAAATCTAGGATACAGTGTTTTAATATCCTTAATCCAAAAAGCAAGAACAGATTGTTCCTAGTAAATACAGAAAGGGTGAATGGTTGTAACTTACTGGGAAGCTGGTGCTGCCTGGCAGCTTCCATGGCAGTGAAGCAGTGAATGTACTTTGGATTTTATCCAAACTTTAGAACAGCTATTCATGGTCTTAGATTAGACCCATTCAACTGAAATAGATTCAGCAATGTGGATAGTTCCTTTAAAGTTCAGATGAAAACCCTGAGTTAATTCGTTATCCCACATGAAAGCTCCCTGCCTCTCCTTTGAACCCGAGCTCATGTATGGAACCTTCTGAAGACCCCAATAACCGAAAAAAACCTCAGCCTAATCAAAAATTGAATGTCAGGGACCAAGCTTTACATTAAACAGAATGAGAACTAGTAGATGGTGCACATTTGGACAACCAAAATAAAACAAAAAGAACACAAGAGCCAGCTTGGGATAGTGGTTTAAATTTTGGACTAGAATTCTGGGAGACCAGGATTCAAATACCCACTTAGTCATTGAAACCCATTTGGTGACCTTAAACAAGTCACACTCCCTAGTCTCAGAGGAGAGCAAAGAACATATGCTAAGAAGGCTCCGAAGGCTCCATGAAAGGTTTATCTTAGGGTTGTTGTAGACTAGACATGTTTTGAAGCCACACAGCAGCAACAAATAAGTTTTTAAAAGGCTGGTAACCCCAAATCCAGTTTAGAATGACATGTAATCTATTCTTATTATATTTCTGGCAAATTGCAGGAATCAATTTCTTCCTTTAGGTAAAATAAACAAAAGAGAAACTACAAGCATAATATTATTTGATGCAAATGGAATAGGCTTTTGAGCTGCCTAGGAAAGGAAGGAATGGGAATAAGATGTAAATGTTAAATCTTTCTGATTTATACTATAATTTGCTCAACTTATTTAAGGAAATGCCTCTTCTGAATAAAAATTTCTAAGATTTATGCTTTTATTCAAAGATCCCATTTACATCTTAGTTAAATAGCTTTATGTATGGCTGACATACCTCTTCTGAAACCAGTCTGCTCTCAGACTTCATCCAGAGAAGTGCATATTATTGTAGACCTGTAGTTAGAAGATTCAGTTCTGTCAGATTTCTTATAAATTATATTTATAATGAAATAATGGCATCAAGCCAATTGGCTATTCTTATTAATGTGAGTAAATAAAGTGGCCATTAAAGGATCAGCCATAATGAAAGCATAAGCCGACAATAGTTCAGTCACTAATAAATATTACTCAAGGCTTTCTCACATTTGTACTGAGGAATTGGTGACCTACGCTCAAGCTGAATTACTAGAAATCACAGTGGGGGTTATAGATAAATACTGGAAAATAAAATTACAGGAGATGGATAAAATGAGTATGGAACAATCAGTATCAGAAAAAGAGATAGGAGACGCTATAGATAAATTGAAAGGAGGGAAGACTCCTGGAATGGATGGGCTAGGACCGGAATATTATAAAAAATTTAAATCAATTTTAGTTCCAAAATTAAAAGAACTATATAATAGGATAATGGAAGGAGAACAGATCCCTTCATCATGGCAGGAATCAAGGATCATATTAATTCTAAAAACAAATAAAGATCCTAAAGATCCTGGTTCATATAGACCTATTGCCCTTATAAATCAAGATGCTAAAATATTGACGGCAATAATGGCAAAAAGATTAAATAGCTTTATATATAATTATATTAATAAAGATCAATGTGGATTCATTCCTGGTAGACAAATGTCAAACCCAGTGGGAAGAGTACTAAATATGATTCATACAATTAAGAAAAAGAATATTAAAGCAGGGATATTGGCCCTAGACATATTTAAAGCATTTGATTGTGTCTCATGGCCGGCATTAAAAAAAATATTAGAAAAATTTGGTTTAGGAGAGAGATTTAGAGGACTGATTGAGAGACTATATTCAACCAACTATGCAACTATACAAGTAAATGATGGCCTTACTGGGAAGATAAGATTGTCTCGAGGAACAAGAAAAGGATGCCCCCTCTCTCCTACCCTATTCGCAATAGTCATAGAATTGCTAGCAAATATGATACGAGAGGATAAACATATAAAGGGGATAGGGAAGGAGGGAAGATACAAGATATGTTTATTTGCAGATGATACACTACTAACCTTCAGAAAGCCATTAGAACAGATAAAAAGAATAGAAGCATATTTAACAGAGTTTGGAGAAATTACAGGCCTTAAAGTTAATTGGGATAAATCGGAAATCTTATTATTTAACCACACTAAAGAAGAGGAAGAAAAATTAAGAGAAGGGAGATTGGGCAGATTAAAAATAAAGAACTCAATAAAGTATCTAGGAATTAATATTTCTAAAGAAATTGATAAATTAGAAGAGGAGAATCTAATTAAATTAAGGAAAAATGTGAAGGATACTCTGGCTAAATTTGCCAAGCTCAAATTGTCATGGTTTGGTAGAATAGCTCTAATAAAGATGAAAATTTTACCTAAAATAAACTTTTTGTTTAGGATGCTACCTATTAAAATCTCAGCTGGAGAAATTACAAAGTGGCAGAATATGATAAACACCTTCTGCAGCGAGAACAAAAGAGTTAGAATTAACAAAGCAAAATGGTATAAACTACAAAAGAAGGGAGGTCTGGGAATACCAAACTTAAAACTATACTATATAGCAAACCAATTAAGATATATTGTTGAAGGGATTATGGGTCAGAAGGATTTAGAATGGTTAGAAGAAGAGAGTGAAGACATAGACATGAAACTAGAATATATTTTCTTTATAGGGAAAACTAGGAATCTAGACAAGAAATGGTATAACAAAATAGAGAACCCTTTTCTAAAAAAACATATTGGGAATATGGTCTAAATATGAAGAAAAATTAATACCATCGATATCCCCCTATTAACACCAGTGTTGATTACAAATAATTTCCCCATAAATCTCAAAAAGGAGTTGGAAAGTGAATTCAAGGAAAAAGGAATAACGAAATTAAAATATTGGGAATCAAAGATGAAAAATATAGATGAGATAAAGGTCCAGTTATCAGGAGGGAACATTGGATGGTATAAAGTTCTACAACTTGAAAGATGGTTAAGGGAAATAAGAAAGAAATATAAAGGAGAGAGAGAATTTACCAAATTTGAAGAAATGATTAGCCAAAGGGGGAGTAAGGAAGGAAAAGAAAGAACAAAAGGTATAACAAGTGATATCTACAAAATGCTGTTGGAAGGGGTCCAGGAGGAGGACCACCTTAAAAGAATGTGGGAGTTAGATTGTAATAAAGTAATACACCCACAAAACTGGAAAGGAATGTGGAATATGCGTATATTAAAAAATATGTCAATAAGAATAAAAGAGAACTATTACAAAGTGGTGTGGAGATGGTACCTCACACCAATCAGATTAAATCAAATTGACAAGAAACATTCTAAGCAGTGCTGGAGGGGCTGTCAAGAAACTGGCACATATATACACATGTGGTGGTCTTGCAAATATGTTCAAAAATTTTGGGAAAATGTATTTCAAGAAATAAGAAGAATCACCCAAATAGAGATAACAGGAACACCAGAGATAGCACTGCTGTCATTTATTGACAATGTTAAAATACCAAAAGAACTAAAAGAATTAATTGCCAATCTGGTAACAGCAGCAAGATTATTAATAGCTAAAAAATGGAAAGAAGGAGGGGAGTGCCAATTGGAAGAGTGGTATAGGGAGATTTGGGACATCGCAATAAACGATAAACTGACAGGAAACATTAAGGTTAAAAGAGGATTATCAAAAAAAGATGATTTTGGGAAGATTTGGGGGAAATTGATAGAATATGTATATATAGAAGGTAAGGGGACCAAACCTGTAATAGAAACAACTGATTTTTGGAAATAAGTATTGTAATTGGCTGGTCGGGGGTGAAGGGTTAGCACTGGGTGATTGGATGTAATGAAGCAGGAGAATGAAATATTATAGGTATCAAGACATACATGTTCTGTACAATTGTTAATGGAAAGTGATAAGTATAAGAATGTTTAAATACCGAATATGTTAAAGCTACAATAAATAAATAAAAATTTTAAAAAAAAGAAATCACAGTGGTTCTCAAGTATTTTTAACAAGAATGTCTATATTTGTTTTCTAGACCATTACAAATATTGGTATTTTTAAACGTTGGAGAAATAAGTTCCAAAACAATGAATGGAATATTTTGAAAACAATAAAGGACGGGGGTCGAAAAGAACAGTACCTTTAAGATATTCTAATTTATTTCAGCATGAGCTTTTGTAGATTTCTGCACAGTTTCTCAGATGAAGTCATTCATTAGAATTATATAGTTGGGGAGGAAGGAAAAAGCAGAATGGGGTACAGAAAGATGCATATTTTATTATTACTATTATTATCTTTATTTCTTACCTTTTTCCATGGGGACTGGAGGCTGTTTACAATAACATGACACAAGCCAATACATTTAAAAACATGGGAAAATACAAAAACTATTTTGACACTGGACATAAAAACTTCAAAATATTGTGCAAGATGATACAGATCTGTCAAGCAACTGCCTTGTTGGTCTGAAGACTAACAGCCTTAAAAGAACTATTTCAAAAACTGAGAAAAAGGTTACGCAGGACACCAGAAAGTATTGACCAGATTTTTATTATTAATTAAAGAAACTGATGCACATAATTATAGGATGTAAAAAAGTTGGAAATGGTTGAGTGAGGATGTATAATAATAGATGTAGATTTATCCAGCAGGCCTTTATTATTTTTTAACAGCATAGCTACAGCTACATTACACTTCACATTGAATAATGACAGAGAGTCCCTATAAATCTAGTATAAGCCATGTAGATTCTTTAAATAATTAAATTCCAGAAGTTATCAATTAGTAGGGGAGAATCAGAGAAAGAGACATAATGACAAACAGCATGAACATTACAACTAGAGATAGTATGCATGAGACAGGTTAACACAACACCTCCTGCTATGTATAAAATTGTGTATAGCAGCATGGTGTTTAAAATGGCACTGTATAGATTGTAACTGGTTAATCAGCAAACAGTTAAAAGCAAAAGCTTCAAATCACTAGTTGGACCTTCTATATTCAATAAAGATAGAAGGTCCAACTTAGCTTGGCAGATAAACCCAGTTATCTAAGGAGCAAGCTCACCAAGTCTGCACTGTTTTGTCACTGACAAACTGGCCATGAGGCCCATCAGCACCAGGAGGCAAAAGAGCCAAATAAACTGGAGTCTCTGCTCCCTCTTCAGGCGATTTGGTGGCTTGGGGACCTGCCATGTCAGTCCTGACCCATCCAGGACAACAGGCATTCAGCAGGATACCATCGCCTTTCCGTGTCTCATTCAGCACCCTTGCTTGAATTCTGGACAAAACCGTCACACCGATTTTGGTCACGCCATAAGCACTATTGGGCCAGCCCTCCTTTTCATATACTCCTTTCTTGGTATCTTCTACAAATTTTTCCATGAGTTTCACTAGCTCTTCTTCAGTGATTGTGTCACTCCGGAATTTCTTTTGCAAGTCTTGGCTACATTTGGAAAGTGCCCGAATACTTACGACACTAGAGACGTTCACTACCCTTCCTGTGAAAAACAATACCATCACATTCCATAATTAATACAGTTCTGCAAAATCTTAGATAAATGCATAGGGTAAATTACATAATAGGAATATAAATATTTATATCAATATTTCATAAAAATACGAAGATAGTGAATTGCAGGAAATCCCAAATTGTATAATAAATAGTTTTAAACTCTTAAGATTTTAAATTCTAAGCTACCGTGATCCCTCCAGAAGGTGGTGCTGCTATAATTTAAATCCTGATGATGCATGAAACTTGATCAAAGAAGGTACATTTTTCTGTTTCTGCTGAAATGTAGCTACTTGCAGCTCCAGAAATGGAGATAACTTAGCCATTGTAGAGGCACAGACAGGACAGAAGATTACTGAAACAGCTTAATGTAACATGCGACTATAACATTAATAAAACATGGCTCTCAAGTTTAAATAAACTCAAGAAATGGCCAAATGTTTCTATATTTGCCATATGGTAAGTTGTTTGTCCCTAATCACCCTTTTGTACTGATATAAAAATACAAGAGCTAATGTCAAAGCAGTATATTTTACAATGGCAACATATTACAATTCCACAAAATGCTATGGACAGTTTAACCAATTATCCAGTTATTAAGTTTTACTAACTATTTTGAGCCAGTAGGTAAAGGTTTTCCCCTGATATTAAGTCCAGTTGTGTTCAACTCTGGGGGTTGGTGCTCATCTCCATTTCTAAGCTGAAGAGCCGGCATTGTCTGTTGACACCTCCAAGGTCATGTGGCCAGCATGACTGCATGGAGGGTCGTTACCTTCCCGCAGAAGCGGTACCTATTGATCTACTCACATTTGCATGTTTTTGAACTGCTAGGTTGGCAGAAGCTGGGGCTAACAGCGGGCACTCACCCTGCTTTCCGGATTCAAACCGCCAACCTTTCGGTCAACTAGTTCAGCAGCTCRGCAGTTTAACCCGCTGCACCACAAGCAACTTAATGAGCATTATTTTATTTACATTAACATAATCACTGWTTCATTAGAATAACTTGACAGAKTTTTTACATTATATCATTTCTTAAGTGACAACAAAGTGTAAGGATCAGGGCCAACAAGCATTAAGAGTCAAACCACCTGGYCAGCATTGAATAATCTACAGCCAGGGTGGAGTAGCTGTAAGTGTACTAAAGAAGCACAAGCTTCCATGGTGATGAGAGAATAGAGTTGCAATTGGAGATGAAGCTGCAAAGAGACTGAAAAATTGGTGAAGAAAATCAGAGAGCCTTTTGCCAAGAAAGTATAAACTGACAGTATTCGGAAGAAGGCCTGGAGAAGAGACAAGATCTTCTGCTACACATACGCAAATATTTCTGTATTAACTTTTCAATGGATAAGAMAAGTTTTATTTGTCTGCTCCTTAACCAGAAGGGGGGTGCTCCTGCTATATAAGGGGATTGAAAAACAACAGCAATTTAGTAAAGATAAAGGTTTCCTCTGACATGAAGTCTAGTTGTGTCTGACTCTGGGGGGTGGTGCTCATCTCCATTTCTAAGCTGAAGAACTGGCATTATCCGTAGACACCTTCAAGGTAACGGGGCTGGCACGACTGCATGGAGGGTCATTACCTTCCCGCAGAAGCGGTACCTATTGATCTACTCACATTTGCATGTTTTTGAACTGCTAGGTTGGCAGAAGCTGGGGCTAACAGCGGGCACTCACCCTGCTTTCCAGATTCAAACCGCCAACCTTTCGGTCAACTAGTTCAGCAGCTCGGCAGGTTTGACTGTTTGAATGATTTTATACTGTTTTTATTCCGTTTTTATTTAAATTGTATATTTATGCTTTTGGTTGTGGGCACCATGGTGTGCCAGATATTAGCCGCCCTGAGTCCTTCTGCAGAAGTCAAGATAGGACGGGATACAAATGTCCAAAATAAATAAATAAATAGGTCATAGGTATAGAGATATAGTGATTTCAAATTGGGTTCATTTTTTGAAAACCCCCGTTTTAATTGGGGTAGGAGGAGGAATGCAACACTTACCTTTTGGTTTTATAAGCGGTAACAACTCATTACATATATTTCTGGTAGCAAAGAAGTTTGTTTCCATGGTCACTTCTGCTTGCGTATGAAATGGAGTAGTGTCTGCCACTTTTTTCAGAAAGCAAAGGAAATGAAAACAACAGTATAGGAATTACTGGAAAATGGATGTGTATACACCCACACATACATATATGAGCAAATTCATATTTCTAGTTATACGTGTTCTACAAATACATACACTGATGACAATTTGAGTAATCTGCTGTGACTACAATATTAGGAAGTATGTCTGTGTCATACCTCAGAAATCAAAAACATTTTCCATCCAATTGGCCCTTCTTTGAATCTCACTAGAGAACTTCTCTTTCTTACATTTATCACATCTCTCAAACTTTACAGAAGTAGTTTTGTTTGATTCCTGCAAAAAAAACTGCATTGTACTTCCAAAGTCAAAAGAAGTTGTATTGAAGACAGCATAGAGCTATGGCAGTTAAACTGGTGTCAAGCTGCCCTAATTCTACAATGCAGATGCACCCATAGTCTCTGTCATTTAATTCTAGTTTCCATTGCATTTTCTGTATGGGAAAATTATTGCATGTTGAGATGGCTCTGAACAACTGGAGAGGACACATCTGGCCATGATATATAAAGCCCTATATGATTTAGGTCCAGACTATCTGAAAATATGTATCTCCCTATACAAACTTATCACCATTCTAAGACTTACATAGGGGGTTTTCTTAGTTCACAGAATCACTGGGTGGGAAGATAAGAGGCTGTCTTCTCAGTGGCTACTACCACTCTCTGGAACTCCCTGGCTACCTCCCTACTTTTCATTAATTGGCCAGCAAAGACATTCCTATTTCAGCATGCTTTTGATATAAAACATGATCACTTTTTATGGGGTTATTTTATTTTCTAAAATTGTCTATGTTCTTAAACATCTTTTATACTATTTTATGTGCTTTTAAATTTCTTAAAAATACAATTATGAATATTTCTAATTGTTTTGAAAGACACCTTGGGCCCCACATTGGAAGAAAGATGGCATACAAATACAACAAATAATAAAATATATCTTCTCAGGAGAATTGTTTGCTTTACCTTTGAATGCAATCCCTGCATTGTTAATTAGCACATTCAAGCCACCATACTTTTCCTTCAGGAAATCACGAAGGGCTCGAATACTCTGGAGATCATTGATATCCAGCTGGTGGAAGAGGGGCTTCAGGCCTTCTTTCTGGAGCTCAGACACAGCCGCCTTGCCTCGTTCGATGTCCCGGGATGTCAGGTACACATCCCCAGAGAACTGCTTGCATAGAGCCCGCACTATGGCCAGCCCAATGCCTTTGTTGGACCCGGTCACCACAGCAACTGCAGTACTGGACATTCTCCCTGCAAAGTTAAACAATATGGATATTAAATATCATAATATCATTCTGAAGCTTCATAACACATGTTTTCATTAATGTGGCTTCAAAAATACATGGTAATCATGCCACTTCATTAGAGCAAAAGCACCTATCTGACAGTATTTTAAATCCGATCTGTGTGCTACGCTTTTGGTTGGCAAATAAATTGGTAACTTGAGTGGATGTGCTGCATACATACAGATATATATTTACATTCTACCTACAGAGTAAAGGAAACTTGCATACAGACCATTTCTTTGCATACAGACCATTTCTTTGGAGGTTGTTCCTAATAGTTCTCCCCTGCCCTGCCCACTGTACCTGAACAAATGGCACTGGCTGTGAAAAACAACAGCAATTTAGTAAAGATAAAGGTTTCCTCTGACATGAAGTCTAGTTGTGTCCGACTCTGGGGGGTGGTGCTCATCTCCATTTCTAAGCTGAAGAACTGGCATTATCCGTAGACACCTTCAAGGTAACGTGGCTGGCATGACTGCATGGAGGGTCATTACCTTCCCGCAGAAGCGGTACGTATTGATCTACTCACATTTGCATGTTTTTGAACTGCTAGGTTGGCAGAAGCTGGGGCTAACAGCGGGCACTCACCCTGCTTTCCGGATTCAAACCGCCAACCTTTCGGTCAACTAGTTCAGCAGCTCRGCAGTTTAACCCGCTGCACCACAAGCAACTTAATGAGCATTATTTTATTTACATTAACATAATCACTGWTTCATTAGAATAACTTGACAGAKTTTTTACATTATATCATTTCTTAAGTGACAACAAAGTGTAAGGATCAGGGCCAACAAGCATTAAGAGTCAAACCACCTGGYCAGCATTGAATAATCTACAGCCAGGGTGGAGTAGCTGTAAGTGTACTAAAGAAGCACAAGCTTCCATGGTGATGAGAGAATAGAGTTGCAATTGGAGATGAAGCTGCAAAGAGACTGAAAAATTGGTGAAGAAAATCAGAGAGCCTTTTGCCAAGAAAGTATAAACTGACAGTATTCGGAAGAAGGCCTGGAGAAGAGACAAGATCTTCTGCTACACATACGCAAATATTTCTGTATTAACTTTTCAATGGATAAGACAAGTTTTATTTGTCTGCTCCTTAACCAGAAGGGGGGTGCTCCTGCTATATAAGGGGATTGTTTTGTTGCTACACACAGAACTCTAAACATTTTGCTCCAACATAACTAACCTATGATAGAAATTTTAATTAGATGTCATTTTGATTTTTTTTAGAAAGTATCATGCCAAAATGTCCTGTAAGTTAATGATGGCTTTTGATCTGTTAAATTCTGCACTTGAAAGAAAGGATTCGTATTTCCTTGAAGTTGTCTTTTGCTATTTCTTCCTATGCTTTTTGCATTTTTTATTGTCAATTTTTCAAGTTAGAGCATTTGCTTTATCATTTGATTTAATTAATTAAGAATATTGTTCCAAAATGCTATTATCTTTTAGGACCGCGTTTCTCAACCTGGGGGTCAGGACCTCTGGGGGGGGGGGGGGGGGGGTTGCGACGGGGTGTTTGAGCGGTCACATAGTATTTTCTGTTGGTCATGGGGATTCTGTCTGGGAAATCTGGTCCAATTCTATTGTTGATGGGGTTCAGAATGCTCTTTGACTGTAGGTGAACTATAAATCCCAGCAACTACAACTCCCAAATGTCAAGGTCTATTTTCTCCAAACCCAAGTGTTCACATATGCACATATTGAGCATTTGTGCCAAGTTTGATCCAGACCCATCATTGTTTCAAGTCCACAATGCTCTCTGAATGTAGGTGAACCACAACTCCAAAACTCAAGGTGAATGCCCACCAAACCCTTCCAGTGTTTTCTGTTGGTCATGGGAGTTCTGTGTGTCAAGTTTGGTTCAATTCCATCATTGGTGGAGTTCAGAATGCTCTTTGCTTCTAGGTGAACTATAAATCCCAGCAACTGCAACGCTCAAATGACAAAATTAATCCCCCAACCCTACCAGTATTCAAATGTGGGTGTATTGGGTATGTGTGCCAAATTTGGTCCAGTGAATAAAAATGTATCCTGCATATCAGATATTTACATTATTATTAATAACAGGCTGATAGTATGATAGCTGAGTCCAGAAGCTCCAAGCATTAAGCACATTTCACAATGGCGGTTGTGAAAAAGGGAAGGGGAGAGTGGCACACTGAGGGCGGGAATATACTTCCTAGTTGCATTTGGAAGGTGGAAGGATAGGGAGGGAGGGTTAGGGTAAGGATTAGGGTTAAGATTAGGGTGAAGGGTAAGGTTTAGGGTTTGGATAAGAGTTAGGGTTTTACCATTAAAGAACTCTTACATTCCTTCTATAATAACTGTATTTCGTTCTGTGTTGCACAAGGAGCGAAGTAGAAACAGCGTAACGCTCAGAGCTTCCAGACCCAGCTTTCATACTATTATCAATAACAGTTGCAAAATTACAGTTATGAAGTAGCAATGAAAATAATTTTATGGTTGGGTGTCACCACAACAGGAGAACTGTATTAAGGGGTTGTGGCATTAGGAAGGTTGAGAAACACTGTTTTAGAAAACCTAAATGCATTGGAGCAAGTGTCAGATGGCACGTCTGAACTATTTTATTGCTACTTCCTACAAGATAACAATAATAAAGCATAACTCACCTAGCTTCCTGTAGAATGTTCAAAAGAAGTGAGTAGATTCCACCAAAGAACAACAGCAGGAATCTGCCTCCTTGCCTTGATCTTACGTTGGCTGTTGATTTTATGTACTCTGCTGCGCTTGCTCTGTGTAGAACAGAGGTTAAGGCCCCGCCTTTCCTGGCAACTTTACAGAGCTCCAGGGAGAGACTATTCACTGCAGCCAGAGGGAGAATCTTAAATAAAGGAGAACAGAGTGGAAGGGAGGGAGAGGGAAGTGGGCGAAGAGTGATTATATAAAGGTCTGGTGCTGTTTCTTTTCTTTAGGGAGCTAGCCCTGTTCCATGTCTCTTTGGAAAAGAGAGTGAATGTTATCCAGTCATCTAGTCAGGAGACTAGCACTTCCACCTATCTCTTTCGCAGTTGTCAGCACCTGCCATAGCTTCTCAGGGCGTTCCATGTTTCCTGATAAGATTGCATCTAAAGTTCCAAAGTACATTACAGCAATCTGCACGTTTTTCATTTCCACCATGACTTGACAAAAAGGCATATTTAAGAATGCAGCACAATTGGGAATCCTTTTATTACTGCAAAGAGTTATATATAACCTGCTTTGAAAATGATCCGAAGGCATCAATTAGTTCCAAATAGGTTGGCTGGACTTGTAATAGTTGATATGATCTGGCAATAGTTGATATGATCCCATTATGGTAGTCTCTTGCCATCTACACTGTAAGTCTATTTTGAGGAGACACCATTTTGTTATGTAATGTGACTTGAGAATCCATATTTTGAGGTTCATTGGGTGGGGTGTCTTGTAACCAAAGCCTAGAATAGTGGCTCTCAACCTGTGGGTCCCCAGATGTTTTGGCCTTCATAGAGTTGGAAGACACCTCATGGGCCATCCAGTCCAACCCCCTGCCAGGAAAATTGCATTCAAAGCAACCCCGACAGATGGCCATTCAGCTTCTGCTTAAAAGCCACCAAAGAAGGAGCCTCTACCACACTCCAGGGCAGAGAGTTCCACTGCTGAACAACTCTCAGTCAGGAAGTTCTTCCTAATGTTAAGAGGGAATTTCCTTTCTTGTAGTTTGAAGCCATTGTTCCGCATCCTAGTCTCCAGGGCAGCGGAAAACAAGTTTGCTCCCTCCTCCCTATGACTTCCTCTCACATATTTATACATGGCTATCATGTCTCCTCTCAGCCTTCTCTACTTTAGGCTAAACATGCCCAGCTGTTAAAGCCACTCCTCATAGGGCTTATTCTCCAGATACTCATTTTAGTGGCCGTCCTCTGGACACATTCCGGCTTGTCAATATCTCTCAATTGTGGTGCCCAGAATTGGACACAATATTCCAGGTGTGGTCTAACAAAGGCAGAATAGAGTGCTACAAATATGCAGATGATACCCAGCTACTCTTGTGTCTTGAACCTGGGACAACCGCGATTCCTGAGAACTTTAAGCTGTGTTTGGAAGCAGTGATGAGTTGGCTGCGAGCGAGCAGACTAAAAGTGAATCCTGCAAAAACCGAGATACTCTGGCCCGGCTTTCCGCCAGAATTAATCCAGTCTCTGCCTGATTTTGATGGGGAAGTTCTGGTTCCATCTGCCACTGTTAAAAGCCTTGGGGTTGTGTTGGACTCATTGCTGATGATGGAGGCCCAGATCACTGCCATAAGTAAGCAGGCCTTTTTTCATCTTCGCCAGGCAAGGAAATTGGCATCCTACCTTTCGGTAGAAACATTGGCAATGGTAATCCACACAACAGTCACCATTAGGTTGGACTATTGCAATGCCTTATATGCCGGCCTTTCGAAGTCAACAACCCAGAAGATTCGGATGGTCCAAAATGCGGCGGCCAGGCTGCTAGCGGGATCATCTATAAGATCCCATATTACACTGATTCTGCAACAACTGCATTGGCTACCAATAGAACATCTCTTACAAGATACTGATCCTGACATTTAGAGCTCAAAATGGCCAAGGACCTTTATATCTTAGGGACTGCCTCACTCCTTTTTTCCATCAGTGGTTACCTCGATCCACCCAGGAAAATCTCCTATACATACCAGTCCCTAGGGAGGTACACCTGAAAGCTACAAGGCATAGAGCTTTCTTGACCTATGCTCCAATTCTGTGGAACTCATTGCCTCCATACATTAGAGCAATGTCGGAGTTGGTTGTGCATTTAAGTAATCAGATTTAATTTGCCAAATGGTCACTGTTGAATGTTTTTATTGTTGAATGTTTTTATATTGCGAAATGCTATCTTAAATTGTAAGTTGATCGGAGCATCTTGGTGGAGAGCGACTAATTAAGAAATAAAGTGAAATGAAGTGAAGAATAGAGGGGTAGCATGACTTCCCTGGTAAACTGGCTGGGATTTCTGGGAGTTGTAGGTCAAAACACCTGGGGACCCACAGGTTGAGAACCAATGGAAGATACCAATGGAATATACCAAGGGCGCACTGTACTTTACAAGCTATGACTCAAAGGGCAATTTCTGTACTTTTTTGCCATAGGGTTAAACCACTGTGTTACTTGAAAACTGATTTGTGGGATATTGTGGCATATATACATAAAAGTCTTGGTTTTGCTTCATTGTTTTCATTTAAATAAAAACATCCAAGGAAGTCAATACACTTTTCTAATTTGGAATCTCTCTTTAAAGCTTGCTGCATGTCTTTGCCTGTTAAACACAAATAAGCATATTCTGGTAAGTACTTTCTGGACTCTGTGACCAGTTTTCTAGAAATTGAATTGCTTCTTTCAGGAGAACGTGGTAGGGAGCCATCCCACTATCTCCTGCAGGGTGGCATGGGGAGGGGAAGATGGAAGTTCAATAGGGCTAGTATCCTATCACAATTTTGTTACATATTTGTTACCTAGCCGAGTCAAGCATAGTATTTAAATAATAGGTTTCAGGTGAGGAGTTGATTTGTCAATTAATTAGTGACTTGCTGTGACTCAGCAGTCTTACGCTCCACTTATGCAATGTTTAACTTGTGGTATTTTCTTCATACTAGAAGTTCTCCCATGCTTTCAAAGTGTTTTCAGCGTGGCAGTATTTCCCTTATGTGAAAAAAGTTCCAGGTTGTTCTTAAAAATACTATTAAATGGCTAATATTCTCACTTTTTAATTATCAGGTACACAAGATAGCAATGATATTCTCAAGGAATCCAAACTATGCAAGTCACAAAAGAAATATTACAATGCTCTGGATGGCTATTTAGGGAAGCGCAATGTCTGTATTATATACCTTGCAATTTTATAGCATCTTCATCTTCAAAATCAGACATTACCAGACACAGAAGAATAATCATATGCACAGAAATTTTGGGGGTGAAAGTTTTTAATACTGATCAAAAAGAGTTGAATTCATAAATATCAGCTTGAATTTCATTTCTACAGATTTTGGGAGACTCTGCTTTAAAGGTGTATCTCTTTGGCCGTAAAAAAATCAAAAGTAATTTACTACAATGCTGAATCCTGTTTTTCTTCCCTTGAAAGAGAAGTGAATTGCCATACACTGAAGTGTGTATCTTCACAGATTGTGTGCAAACCCTTGCCCCAAAGCAAGCCTGATTTGATTAGTTAATAAGTGTTTTATTCAATGCATCCAAGGGTACTGATTTTGCTGAACAACTGCAGTAGTTTAATGTTTGCATTCCAGAAAACAGGCGGGTCCAAACATAATGCTTGTTGAAACAAAGTCTTTACCCATCTATAGAAAACTACCACTGAAAAAATATGAAAAAGCTATGCAGGCACATTGTAGAAGTCTTCCAGGAGTGAATGATTTTACAAAATTATGATAACAATAAAGAACTGAGTTAGGTGCCCAAAAGTAGGAAAGGGAAAGCACTTTAAAGGCCAGCATTTCTTGCTACATGGAACAAGACATGACAGGACATACAGGCACTTCTGTATCACATTATCACATCGTTATATTATCATATTCCGAATTCTATCTATACTGCTATTGTTAGATCAAGCCAAATGTTTCCGATCTCCAGTGTGTACCTCCAGAAATGTGAGGGAAGTTACCATTTCTGTACTGTCTTTTCACTAACATATTGGCCATGAGGCCCAACAGCACCAGGAGGTAAAAGGGCCAAATAAACTGGAGTCTCGGCTCCTTCATCTGGCGATTTGGTGGCTCTGGGACCAGCCATGTCGGTCCTAACCCATCCAGGGCAGCAGGCGTTCAGCAGGATACCATCGCCTTTCCTTGTCTCATTCAACACCCTTGCTTGAATTCTGGACAAAACGGTCACTCCAGTTTTGGACACACCATAAGCATGATTTGGCCAGCCCTCCTTCTCATGCACTCCCTTCTTGGTGTCTTCTACAAACTTTTCCATGAGTTTAACTAGCTCCTCTTCAGTGATGGTGTCACTCCGAAATTTCTTCTGCAGATCTTGGCTGCAGTTAGCCAATGCTGAAGCACCACACATGCTAGACACATTCACCACTCTGGCTGCAGAAAATGATTGTGGGGTAGAAACAACATCTAAGTTAAAGTTGCTAATGACATTAATTTATATTTTCTATGGCACTCATTCTGTCACTTTTTACCAAGGCAGTTTACATGGAATATAACTGTATTAAAACAAGAGTTAAAATATTCCCACACTTCTATAAAATTAACCTAAACAGCTAAAAGGATCAATTTAAAGTCAACAGCATTTAAAAGTCCTGCACATGTTTTGTGAATCAATGACACAGCACTGCACTTTTATCCCATGCCATTTTTCCCTTAGCTACAATTTGCATTATCCCATTCCCTTGTCTTGTTTACAGTTTGGCCATGTCTTGCAATAGTTGTCATCATAGGTTATTGGGAGTTGTTCTGAGTTTTAAATTGTTGTTTTATATGCTATATATTTTACTTTATTGTATTGTATTGTGTGCTTATTTTATGCCCTGTTTTAGGTGCTTTCTGCCATATATAAGCCACTTTGGGGAAATGGAGGTGGGATACAAGAAGTCGTTGTTGTTGTTGTTGTTGTTATTATTATTATTATTTGAAACATGCTGGAATAAACCGCTGTAGACCAGCAACATCACTACCCCTTTAAAAGTTTTAGACAACATCTTATGCAAAGTCAGACTACAATAAACTCTGGAACTGTCTATATATGAATTACGTATTAATTGCTAAAAATTAAAACTAGCTGCATTTCAGAACTGCAAAAAAAGTGATAAAATGTTTTTTCCCCCTATTTTACCACACTATACTAATTTAAGAAGTATTTATAATAACAGTCCTACAACTGTGGAACCCACAGACATAGCCTCACTTATCTGTGCCCAGAGAAAATGGTCTCTCTGGGAATTTGCTAGGTCATCTCAAGTGATACTGTGGAATGCTTCCCATAGAGATCTAGAAAAGTCCTATTTAAAATATCAAATAATATTCCAGCGCCCTAGATGTTGTGGGCATTTTAGGAGACCAAGGGACGAATGGTAGCTATTCTAGCCACCCTGTGCCCCAGTTCAGAATACTTCACCTCACTTTGAAAATTTTGGGTTGTCGTGGAAACAAGGATTGGCTTCAGTAGAGACGCCTTTTTCCCATGAAACTCTTACAGGGGCAAATTTCCTTTCACTTCCTGTTGTCTCATCCTTGTGATTAAGAGTCAGGTGTAACTGTTACTTTAAACTAGAAGTCGGATGGAACTCAGGAACTCATACTATACTCAGATTTCTGAGAGTATGGTTTGCAAGAAAGGGAGAATATGAGTCAAACAAACAAATTGTTATTAGTAAAGGTTTCCCCTGATATTAAGTCTAGTTGTGTCTGACTCTGGGGAGTGGTGCTCATTTCAATTTCTAAGCTGAACAGCCGCCGTTGTGTGTAGACATCTCCAATGTCATGTGGCCAGCATGACTGCATGGAGCTTCATTACCTTCCCGCTGGAATGGTACCTATTGATCTACTCACATTTGCATGTTTTTGAACTGTTAGGTTGGCAGAAGCTTTGGGCTAACAGCGGAAGCTCCCCTGGATTTGAACTGCCCACTTTTCAGTTAGCAAGTTTATTTATTTATTTATTACTCAAACTTATATGCCGCCATTCCCCTGGAGCTCGGAGCGGCTTACAAGAACAGGCTAAAATTGAACACAATTTAAAAACAATTTAAAACAATTTCAAAAGAGCAATATCAAAGATCAAAGGTCAATATCAAAAATCAAAGTTCAGAAGCTCAGGGCTTTATCTCTCCTGAAGAAGACTCAATGTGGCTTACAATTAAAAGTATGACCACATCATTTAAAATATACAATATGCAAACATTAAAACAGAATCAAATATCATAGAATCACAGAATCATAGAATCAAAGAGTTGGAAGAGACCTCATGGGCCATCCAGTCCAACCCCCTGCCAAGAAGCAGGAATATTGCATTCAAATCACCCCTGACAAATGGCCATCCAGCCTCTGCTTAAATATAATAGTATTACATTTTACAGTTAAAATCCATTAAAACAAATTCAAAGCTAAAACTCCTAGCACCCCCAAACAAATAAATTTTATCATTTGCTCTACTAAGTATTTGAAATATTTCAATGAAATATTTTAATTATGGGCAGGTTTCCAATAGCACAATTTTCAAGGTTAGCTCACTGTACTGCACTTACCATTAGGTTTCAGCAGAGGTAACAGCTCTGTGCAAACATCCCTGGTGGCAAAAAAATTTGTTTTCAGAGTGACTTCTGCTTGTGTAGCAAATGGAGTCGTGTCTGCACCTTTTTTCCCCAGATGGGAGGAAGAAAGCAAGCAAAAGTTGGAAAGGACAATGGATAAGTACTAATACTGGAAAAAACTTTAATAGTTTCTTCAATAACTTTAACTATTTTCAGTTGAAGCTAGAATGTATTTACAGAAAAAGGCGGCATATGAAAGAGACACAAATATAAAATTAATCCATTACAAAAATAGAAAATTATCCCGCAAATAATGAACTGGAAAGATGATCTCAGAAAAGATCTAACCAGAAAGTATCTCCTATCTGACACAAGAACAGAAATGATGGCAAAACATGGCTTTCACTGACTAGTATTGGGGAATTACTGTAAGATTTAGTAAGGAAGTCTAAAATCCTAAAAACCCATTAAACAAATGGGCTTTATTTTTCAGTAATTTGTATAGGGGTATTATGTAAACAGATATATGAAATATCTTGAAAAGTTAAAATCAGAAAAGCATAGATTTCAAGAATAACAAGGCAAGAAACTTTATTCCTCATTTGGCTATTTCTTGCTAGCCTTATCTGCTGTCTGTCAATCGTCAGATAAGAAAAAAAATCAAAATGACAAAAAGCATCGAAGAAAAAACCATAGCAATATTTTATAAACAAGTCTAAAAAGTAGACAATTAGCACAAGATAATACAGTGGTATATATTTAAAATTTTTCCAGCATTTATTTCTTTATTTAACATTACCTAAAACAGAATCAAAACTGGCTGAAATTGAAAGAGGGTTTTCTGTTTTCCATTTTGGCCAATTTTTGGCTTATTTTGTTGGGGTTCTGGCAGGCTTTGAAGTGTGTTTGGACTATTTGTGGGCATTCTTGACGAAAAAAAATCACCTAGAAAAATATTTTCAATTAGTTATGTGCTACACTTTGGACTCAAATTTCAGGAACTGGACTTTACCTTTGTGTGTACCATGTTTTCAAACAAAACAGCCACTTCTGGATGTGTGAATGCTTTGGGTTGCTGTGAGTTTACTGGGCTGTATGGCCATGTTCCAGAAGCATTCTCTCCTGACGTTTCGTCCACATCTATGGCAAGAATCTTTAGAGGTTGTGAGGATCTCTGCCCTCTTTAGCACTGGATCGAGAACAGGCTTTGGCTTGAAGATAGCCTTGGAGAGGCGGCATACACGACACTTTATCCTCAACTAGTTTAAACTAACGGAAGCTTGAAACTCTCATTGACTTAATTATGGGGTGGAAATTGTGTAGTCCATGAGCTGCATGAGGCCACAAGATAGCCAGTTTGTACTCCCATCCACATTTCAATTGTCCACTGTAGGGTTTTTTAAAGCCATCAGTTTGCTACTATGATTTGAAAATAAAATCGCCTCTTATTGCTGCCCACCTTTTAAAAAGATTCAACAACCATGCATCATCCTTCAGTACTGAAAGCGTGGTGGCTGCATCCAAAACACCTTTCTTGATTCCAGGGCTACTGGGACCAAAGGCAATTACAGGCAGTCTCCAAGTTACAAACACCCAACTTACAAATGACTCACACTTAGGAACGAGAGTGAGACAACAGGAATCTACCCTTAGAAAGGGAAATTCACTCCTGGAACGGTTATCAAGGGGAAAAGCTGTCTCCACTGAAGCTTCCTCACCAATCCGTTTCCACAACAAGCCAATTTTTCCTTAATCACAGGGACAGAAAGTGAGGCAAAATCTTCTGAACAGGGGCACAAACAGCAAAAGAAACACCACAGGGCTGTTAACCCTTTCCTAGGCTATCCAAACCTCATTCTCTCTATTTATTTGCTGGAATTGCACTGAAAAATGTACTTATTCCAACTTACAAACAAATTCAACTTAAGAACAAACCTATAGAACCTATCTTGTTCATAACTTGGGGGCTGCCTGTACTTGGGAGAGGCAACTTTGCTCTCAGGGCCACCAGAAACTACCAAAAGGATTAGAAAGAGCTAGAAGCTGCTTCCCTTCTTTGACAGTGAGAAGAGGACTCAACTAGGCAATTGCTTCTACTACTCCAGATTTTTTGTTCTTTTTCTTTCTCACAGCTGCTAACAGAAGGATGATCTCCTGCCACTGCTATTATTATCATCGCTTTTTTTTTTTGGAGGGGGAATGATTGACCAAGAGTCAGAGGGTAGTGAAATCAGCCCTTTGAACCTTCAACCATGTCCATTTTTATGTACTACAAACAGAATACAGATTTACCAGTAGATTATGATCTACCTTTTAGGAGTCCCTTCACTGAGTAATAGTTTAGTGCTAGATGTGAACCAATATGAAATAACTGGAGTGACGTGTTCATGTTGGCAAGGAAGAAAATGACAAAATCTGCCAACTGCAGGAGAGTCATCTGCTTAAAATCTGCAGTCTAACTTTGTGCTGGAGTAAAGTCATTGTTTTTGAATCTGTCATCTTACCAAAGTATATGACCATCATGTTACAAACTAACAACTTGCATTCACCTGCCACTATCTAACATGAAGATGATCAAAGAAAACTTCTTCAGACTGCATTTTACCTTTGAAGGCAATCCCTGCATTGTTGATTAACACATTCAGTCCCCCGTATTTCTCCTTCAGGAAGTCACGGAGGGTTCGGATACTTTGAAGATCGGTGATGTCCAGCTGGTGGAAGAGTGGTGTCAGTCCCTCTCCCTGCAGCTTTGCCACCGCTGCCTTGCCCCGTCCGACGTCCCGGGATGTCAGGTACACATCCCCAGAGAACTGCTTGCACAGAGCCCTCACTATGGCCAGCCCAATGCCTTTGTTGGACCCGGTCACCACAGCAACTGGAGTACTTGACATTCTCTATGAAATTAAAAATGATATGATAATGTGGTTATTGTGCACACAGAACTCTCACTGAGCCCCCGGTGGTGCAGCAGGTTAAACCGCTGAGCAGCTGAACTTGCTGATTGCAAGGTCGGCGGTTCAAATCCGGGGAGCGGGGTGAGTCCCAGCTTCTGCCAACCTAGCAGTTCAAAAACATGCAAATGTGAGTAGATCAATAAGAACTGCTTCAGCAGACAGGTAACCACATTCAATGCAGTCATGCTGGCCAAATGACCTTGGAGGTGTCTACAGACATGTTAAGAAGGTGGATGTGGCTCTTAATGAGACATGCCGCATTATCAGGGGTGTCTGCGCCCTACACCACTGGAGAAATTACACTGTTTAGCCGTTATTGCACCACCTGACATCCGCCGGGAAGTAGCAGCCAATAGTGAAAGGCCCAAGGCAGTGACATCTCCAGCTCATCTCCTATTTGGGTATAGCCAGCTGTCAATGACTTAAATCAAGAAATAGTTTTCTAAGATCTACAGAGACACTCTCTGGAACACCTCAGCAAGCGAGAGTTCAAAAGTGGCAGGCTCAAACGCAGAACCTCAATCAATGGCTGATACCAAATGAGAGACTCCCCCCTGGGCACACAGAAGACTGGATGACTTGGAAGGTGCTGAACAGATTGCGCTCTGGCACCACAAGATGCAGAACCAATCTTAAGAAATGGGGCCACAAAGTGGAGTTATGACATGCGAGTGTGGGAAGAGCAGACCACTTACTGCAATGCAACCTGAGCTCTGCCACATGCACAATGGAGGACCTTCTTACAGTGACACCAGAGACACTTCTTTGGCCACCTTCTGATCAAATAACATTTATTATAATGCCAAGTTTTTAACTCTGTGTTTTTAAACACGTAACTGTACTCTCAATTCGCTTCTGACATGATAAATAAAAATAAATAAATATTGCATTGCCAGAAATGAATGTGACGATAAACAAAACATGAAATTAGAAGTCTTTTTTAAACAACACATAAGCATAAAGAAATGTTAACCAATTTGCAGGTAACTGACAAATTTGAAATCTTACACATAAGTTCCAGGAAATGCACATGCTATGTGCCTTGCATATTAATAGCACTATATTTATTATTGTTGTTGTTGTTATTATTATTGTTATGCCATGTTGTTATTAATAACAGCCACTCCTCCTTCTTATTTGTTTATATACTGGCATCAAATATAAATGGCACTTTATGATAAAACAAGCCAAAAGAATGTGTCCTTCCAAAGATATACAATCTAAAATATGTATATGCACATACAGAAGAAAGGAGGAATAGCAAACCACAAAGCAATTGCAAAACAATCATATTAAGTGCAAATTAGAAAAGACTAAAGATGCAAACAGATGACACATGTGATTTACAGTTGACTAACAATACATATACATAAGAACAACAAATTGCAAGAAGAGGTTAGAACAAAATAATATTATTTTTTAAAAATCAAGCAACAAACCTCTAATTCTTAAAAAGTTGGGAGTCACTTCCAAGGCTTTGCAAACAACGCCTCCTCCCCAACGTGACGTCACAGAGGGGCGAGGCCGCAATGTTTTTGCTCTCTGTGGCCAATGAGAAGCGGGTTCCATTCAAACATTTCTCCCGCTGGAGAGCCCATTGGCTGAGATATGGAGTGTGCATTCCGCCTCTTCCTCTTCCGTGAGATCCGGGAGAGGAGCCTCGTGAGATTTGGGTGGTCTATTTTTTTAAATAGCGTTGGACCTGGAAGAGAAAGCAAGGGGTGAGCGAGCGTATATTGAGTGCTGCTCTGGATTGTTGCTGCTTTGACTCCCTCCATTCTGCAGAGAGCCCGCACTCTTACCTAAAAGTTAATTGATTCAGCTCTCTCCATTTCATTGGGACGTGGATCTTGAAAGAGCCTCCGCTACGTTGTCTCTGTGCCTTTCGGATTGCAGAGGAGTAATTGGAGGTTTGTGGTCCATCAAATCTTGGAAGTTAACAGGATCAGTTCTGGTTAGTAAAATCCACATAAAATCCAGTTTCTGCCTCCTGCAGAATTCTGGGGATTGTAGTTTAGGGAAGGGCCTTTGACAGCCTCACTAAACTACAAACCCCAGCAGTCTTCAAGAGGTAGAAACCGGATTTTAAGTGTGATGAAGTGGTTGGAAACCATTGTGTCAGCAGGACTGAGGACCGACAGGTCGCAGGTCCGAATCCGGAGAGAGCGCGGATGAGCTCCCTCTGTCAGCGCCAGCTTCCCATGCAGGGACATGAGAGAAGCCTCCCACAAAGATGGTAAAACATCAAAACATCCTGGCGTCCCCTGGTAAACGTCCTTGCAGACGGCCAATTCTCTCTCCCCAGAAGCGACATGCAGTTTCTCAAGTTACTCTTGACACACAGATTTTGTCTCTGTCTTTCAGAGAAAGGGACTGGCAAGCCCATCTCTTGAGTACCCCTTGTCTATGGTACATCTACATTTTAAGATTAATACTGTTCAACACCACTTTGTCTGCCATGGCTCAGTGCTAAGGGAATTGTAGCTTTGTAAGGTCTTGACTTAGGCAATCCCTCGTTGTCCGAGTAGGATTGTCTTCCAAGGTCCGTGTTCTGTCAGTGGGTCCGTAGGTGACTGTGGAGCCCTATTCTTGATCTGCATCGTCTCCCGCAATGACGGCATTGGTTTCCAGGTGGAAGGCGGTCCTGGTCAGGGTTGGCATGACATGCTTTCCTCTTGGCACGTTTGTCTCTGCATTGGAGAGGGATTGGCAGGTGACTGCTGGAAGAGCACTTTGGTTTTCTCGATGTTCAATAACAGGCTGAGCTTCTCGTATGCTTCTGTGAAGGTGTTTAGAGTGGCTTGTAGGTCTTCTTCTGAATGCGCACAGATGACGTCATCAGCATACTGGAATTCTATAACAGATGTTGTAACCTTGGTTTTGGCTTTCAGTCTGCTGAGGTTAAATAGCTTGCCATCTGTCCAATAGATGATTTCCACTCCGGTGGGAAGCTTCCCATCAACAAGATGAGGTATCATATCAAGGTCTTGAACCTACTCTATCAAAGCGTACTGGTGTCTCACCAAACCACAAATCCTAGGGTTGCATAGCATTTCACCATGGCAGATAAATCGGTGTCAAACTGCATTAATTCAAAAATAATAACAACAGCTTTTATTTGTTACCTGCCTCCTCAGGGCTAGACACAACACAGTCAAAACACATAAATATAAAATACATAGAATCAAATATGTATATTAAAATACAGTAATAGAATGTAGGGAGTCCCTGGTAGTACAGTGGGTTAAACCTCTAAGCTGCTGAAATTGGTGACCGAAAGGTCAGTGGTTCAAATCTGGAGAGCGGGGTGAGCACCCACTGTTAGCCCCAGCTTTTGCCAACCTAGCAGTTTGAAAACATGCAAATGTGAATAGATTAATAAGTACTGTACCTGTGGGAAGGTAATGGCACTCCATGCAGTCTTGCTGGCCACACGACTGTGGCGGTGTCTATGGACAATGGCTTAGAAATGGAGATGAGCACCAAACCCCAGAGTTGGACACGACTGGACTTGATGTAGGGGAAAACCTTTGCCTAATAGAATGTAGATTTAAAATTAGTGGTTTATACAGTGTAGATGCAACTTTGTACAACCCTATGGAATCTTTGGGGTTGCCATATGTCAACAGGTGACTTGAAGGCACATATCCACACACATAATTGAGGGCTTGCAGTTTATTGGAGGTCTTCCTTATATAGACCCTTGTTTTCCCCGATTCTGCAGTTATTAACGTAGAAGGAATCCTGATTTAGTGTTTAGCTCAATGCCCTGTATAACGAAGATCAACGATAATCTTGGCAGGGGGGCAAGCAATCTCACCGCTGCCACCAGTATAACGAAATTAGCGTTGACCTTTCTGACTTTGGCAGGGGGGGGGGGAAGACTTTTCAATCCCACCTCTGCCACCAAAACAAGGGATGATAAAGTATTATAAATGACCGATGTTATTGGTAGGTATGGCTGCCACCACCTCAGCTTTATTGGTCTGAGGAACCAAAGGTGTGAATGTGTTTCAGATTCATGTATGTTCAAGCTCTTGGTTCTTCTATTGCTTCTTCACTGGCTGACTGGACTTTAAAGAGGTTTCTATTATTGACTTGTCTTAGTTCTGAGGAGATTGACAGACTGGGGCATACACCAGTTAAAAGTGAACTAGGAAAGGTTTATTGAACTTTAAACAAATATCAACTCATAGAATGAGCGGTACAGAAGCGTAATTTAGTTGTAGAGACTTAGTTATTTAAACAAGTAGTTCCACTGACAATAAAGCTTTTAAAACTGAGTTTCCTTAAACATACTGTTCTATTCTTAGAAACAGTATCACTTAGAGAACAGACTCCTATCTGTCTCACATACAGGGCAATAAGCTCTCTTAAACTTCTCCTAAGTCTAAGAAGACAAAACTCTCTTTTACTGGTCCTCTCAACACAGTAAAACCCTAGCCCTTGTCTCAACCTTATTCCCTATCCTTAAGGCTCACTTAAAAGCTCTTCTTCCCTGTCAGAACTCTATTTAGCTTCCTCTCCTAAAAATCCCTTCCTTCTGTGTCTGAAGTCCAGACACTTCTTCCCCTGTCAAAAGCTGACAGCCTCTTTCCATCTCTCAACCGACTCCTCCCCTAATTGCTCCAACCAATCAGGAGTCGGCTTGACTCCTCCTCCTGCTTCTGCCTGTCTTTCAAGATGACAGCTTCTGACATTCAGGCTTCGGCCTGGTCGCCTCAAAGGTAGATTTCACTACACCCTGGTTCTCTGGCATCCAACTGGATGAATTCAGGAAGCCCACACCATTGAATGTAACAGGCCTGGAAAATATTCTTTTTTGCATTATAGCTCAAGAGATCTTCCACCAAAACAGACATTGATGGCCAGGGAATACTGGAGGGTTGTGGCCCAGTTTCTTGGCTCTGAGCCCCAATACCTTCTCAGAGTTACATTACAAACGCTAACTTTCCTTGGTCCTAGAATAACCTGCATTTGTTGTTACATAGCAGTTAGTATGCACGTACTGGGGTTTAGCTCCAAGCCCCTCCCCCAATACCAAAAGTCCCATTATATTCTATGGCGTAGTAAAGGTAAAGGTTTCCCCTGACATTAAGTCTCTGGGGGGTGATGCTCATCTCTATTTCTAACCTGAAGAGCTGGTGTTGTCCATAGACGCCTCCAAGGTCATGTGGCCAGCATGACTGCATGGAGCGCTGTTACCTTCCCAAAGAAGCGGTACCTATTGATCTACTCACATTTGCATATTTTCAAACTGCTAGGTTGGCAGAAGCTGGGGCTAACAGCGGGAGCTCACCCTGTTCCCTGGATTAGAACTGCCAACCTTTCAGTCAGGAAGTTCAGCAGGTCAGTGGTTTAACCCAATGCGCTACCAGGGGGCCCTATTCAATGGTGTAGTAACATCCTAAATGAGCCTGAGGATCTGAAATGACAGGAGGCTGCAGCAGGTTATGCTTTTTTGACCCCTCCCCCAAAGTTTCCAAGTCATGATGGGTGGAATCTATGGGTGAAGAACTCATGGATACAGAGAGCCAGCATTATGTTGTTGCCTAAGAACATAACCCTGTTGGTCTTCCTAAGTGGAGGAAAGGATTAGTAAGAGGTTGTTGTTTATTGAAAAGAGGTTGTTGTTTATTTGCATGATTGTGTTATCTTTTTAAAAAAGAAAATTACATCTGTTTTATTAATTTTACAAATATAAATGTGAAGTATTTCCTAAGACATTTATAAAAGAGGTGCAGTTTTGTAGCTATTACAAGTATTGAAAACCCTTCTGTAAGCAATATGCATGTTTCTCTAGTTTTCACATACAGACTTGTGCATTGAATCTGAATGCTTTGACTGACATGAAGAAAAGCAATGGCCGTACAAGCCGAAAGAGACAAAGAAAGAAATGTAGAACATTGTCCTCATACGGAGGTAATGTGATTTAAAATCAGCAACCAAATTGAGGTCATGACATCATCATTATAAGAGTATGTGTGCGAGTGTCTATATATTTGCATGTGTGTATAAAATGAGAAATATGTACACCGATGTTCTCTATCGGGGTGGAAGAGCCCTTCCTCAGATGTCGGACTATTCTTATAACCCCTTATTACTGTTGGCAAGTCAGGCTGGGTTTTCGGGGAGGTAAAACATAATATCAGTTTGCAGCTGATTTTCTAATTTATTTTCTTAGATTAATTACCTTCATCTGTTTCAGTAGATGTGGTTTATGATGTAATACGTATTTGTAGTAATCACATTGTCATGATATACCTTTCTTTAAATCATCATAGATATAAAGCCTACCTTAAAATGACAGATTTTAATTTTTTTGGTCTTTTTTTTAGTAAGTCTTAGTCACAAAGATGAATATATACTACTGAAGAAGTGGCTGAAAGAAAGAGGCTGTAATGTTAATAAATTAAAACCAGCACAATTTCCAGGTAATTTTAAAGATTGTTTTCTGACAGACTGTGTTTGATCTAGCAGAAAAATAGCTCCACATAGTCTATATCAGAGCTTCTAAAATTTTTTCCATTCATGATCCCTTTCACCTGATACATTTTTACATGATTCTAGGTAGGAGCCCCCAGCGGTGCAAAGGGTTAAACTCTTGTGCCAGCAGGACTGAAGACCGACAGGTCAGAGGTTCAAGTCTGGGGAGAGCATGGATGAGCTCCCTCTGTCAGCTCCAGCTCCCCATGTGGGGATATGAGAGAAGCCTCCCACAAGAATGGTAAATCATCAAAACACCCGAGCATCCCCTGGGCAATGTCCTTGCAGGTGGTTAATTCTCTCACACCAGAAGCAACTTGCAGTTTCTTAAGTCGCTCCTGACACAAAAAATGTTTCTAGGTATATAAAATAGATATAAAAATCAAACACTTACTGATAAAAAATCATAGGATGACATGAGCCTAAGTCTTATCAAAGTGCAAGGAACATGGTGGACTCTTGTGCCAGTTAGTTGCATAGCGTAACAAACTTCTTCTCATTCTGGTCTGTTGCTTTATGTGGCTGGAGCAAACTTTGTTAGTATATCTGCCTTTTGCTGTATATTTAGATCTCAAGAAACCAACTCAGATCTGCTTGTGAATGAAAGTTTTGTTGACTCCGCAACCCATTACTTACAATAGCCCTCTGTTCGGCAGAGACCTTAGTAACAAAGAGAATAAGCAGAAAATGTTCTCAGTCTGTTGGAATATTAGAACCCTAGAGTCATCTAATAAAACCCATTAATCAGGACTGAGGGTGGATACATTACATAGCATATGAGTCAACTGTGCTATTCACTATATTTCAGTACAGAATTTTGGAGGTAGGCATGAACACTACTTGCTTTAAAAGGCATTGGAGAATTAGGATCTCTGCTAGACATGATGGATATTTTCCCTGGGATTTTCTTGCCCCCCAGACTGAACGGAGTGAGATTGCTGGCAGGAATGTGTGTAAATAAGGATTGACATGTCTGGAAAATGCATTCCTGTCCCCTCATTCACTGCCAATGTTTGGCCTCTGATGGTCTTTGCCCGGATCCAAATTCCTCATCTCTGCTGCATTTGCAGTCTAATGGACTAAGTGCAAAAGACTTGCATTTTAAAGGGTTAAAATTGTGTACGGAGTGTGTGCTTCAGAAAGGTGCTGTGTGACTACAAGAAGTATTGTATTGACTACTTATTGACTACTTATTGTATTTTCTTGACTACTGTTTCTATGAACCAGGGCAGAGATTCTGTAGAATCTTATTGTAGTTTTCTCTCTTTGTTTCCTAGAGACGGGAAGAGGCTTGATGACCACAAAGGGCCTCCAGGTTTGTATTCTTTAGGAAGGACAGGCATCAATCTTCTGGAATGGTCTGAGAATATAAAAAAAATCTGTAAAAGAATCTGCATATTATTCATGCTTTTGCAGTGGCTTTAAAACTATAATAAATATAATAAACTTTATTTGTACCCCGCCACCATCTCCCCAATGGGGACTCGGAGCGGCTTTCATGAGGCCAAGCCCAAACAACAATTACAGTAAAGAACAACCGAACGCAAACTGAAAACGCAAACAATAAACAACAACATCATAATTACATAAAACATATGAATATACCACAATATAAAATTACAGTAAACACAAACACAGTGACAATGGGCGGGTTACATGTAATGGTTAAAAGAAGAACTAATTAAAACTGGTTAAAAACTCGGGTGAGATAAAAGAGAAACAAATTATTTATGGAGGAGGGCTCATTATAGTGGGAGTTGTGGAATCAAGCTTTCCCGCGGGGGGGGGGGGGGGGGGGGAAGCTTGATTCCCTTCTGTGTTTTCTGCAGAGGGCTCAACAGGATGAGAAGTAGCACATCTTTCATACAGTAGCCAGTTTAAAAAGCAAACACCCACTGATTTGCCTTTTCCCTTTCAGTCTTCAGTGATAAACAGGCTTTAAAATGGTACAAGATTCTTTGTCATTCCTACTGTAGGGACCTTACAAGTTATCCTTCTTGCCAAGGAGGAGGAGTGCTACAGGAAGGAAAACATTTCACTTAATTATCTTAAGTGCCTGGCACAGTATTTTAATAATAACCGTGTTAAAGGATTACAAAGGATTTCCTTTCACCTATGATATATTATGAGATATTGTACAGTGGAAACCAAAATACAATTGAAGAGAACTGTGGAGAATTACGTGGCATCTTCACATTTATTTACTTCATTTATATACCACTTTTCTCACCTGGGGGGACGGACTCAAAGCAGTTTCCAACATATTCACGGCAAAATTCAATGCCTAACATACATATGAAAATCCTAACATGAAACAACAATAACATATGACTATCAATTAAATTATAAAAACATATTAACATTTAGACATTAAAATGTGAGGTTAAAAACATTAATATAAACATTAAAATCGCATAATCCAAAAATCATAGTCCAAGGCCATTCCAATATCAAATATCAATTACACACAATCCTCGTTCATTCCTTGTATTGCTTACTACCCAAAGGCTTGGTCCCACAGCCATGTTTTTACTTTTTTTCTGAAAGTCAAGAGGGAGGATACTGATCTAATTGCATTGGGAAGAGAGTTCCATAGTTGAGGAGCCACCAACGAGAAGGCCCTGTCTCGTTCCCACCAAACACACCTGCAAAGGAGGTGGGACTGAGAGCAGGGCCTCCCTGGATGATCTTAACCTCTGAGATGGATCATAGAGGAAGGTATGTTTATTATTTATTTATTAACTTTATTTGTATCCTGCTACCATCTCCCCAAGGGACTCGGTGCGGCTTACATGAGGCTGAGCCCAAACACAACAATAAAAGCAATAAAACAACAATACAAGCAATTAAAAAACATAGACAATAAGTTAAACAACATTATGAATAAAACAACACACAATTAAAAACAGAGGGGAGACCAAATGTAAAGTTAAAATTGGAAATATGCTGGGACATGAATGAAAGGTGATACTGTTGTTTGTGAAAGGGCATACGAGCAGACTTACCAGACAGGTAAGCTGGGCTGGAACCATTTAGTGCTTTATAGGCTAAATCCAACACTGAATTGTGCTCGATAGCAGACAGGTAGCCAGTGGAGCTGGCATAACAAGTGGGGTTGTGTGCTTCACATCCCATAGAGCAACTACAACTCTTTTCTATATGGGCACATAGTTGGTGGTGGGAACACCAGCCTTTGAGCCCTAAAGAGCCTAATATTCTTCAAAGGCCATTGTGAAGCTATGAGGGCTAGCAAACAAATCATTCACCCAACTCCTGGAGATAAACATGCTGGCATCGGAGGGTGGGACTCACCTGTTCAGATAAAGGGATTTACTAATGTCTGTGAACAATGTGTTCCAGGCCATATTGACTGACACCATATTTTCTTTTAACATTTCCTAGGTAGGAGAGCTGATTATTTCTTTGCCTGAAAAATGTTTGCTCACCACCGATACTGTCCTTAACAGCTACCTCCGGGAATACATTGTAAAGTAAGTTGATAATGACTTAAAATCTTGCATTTTGTCCATTGACATTCACTAAATCTTTTGATTCCATTTAGAACTGTGAAAATAGTCTGCTGTTACAATGTGTATGTCCCCTAACCTGATTTATTTGGTGCTTTCAATACATTCAGGCAGACAAAGAGGTCTATATAAGGTCTGTAATTACCTTTATATGCCAACAGTTATTGAATACCTTTGAAGGCACAAATAAAACAGAAAGGAGCAATGAAGTGGAAATGTCTTCACTGGAAAATCAAATATTTAAACTGCAGTCTGAACTATACTTGGGATTTAGTTTCAACTAGAGTGAACCAATTGAATGAATGGGAGTTCACGAACTTAGGAAGCTGCAATAATTCAGGGAAAATGCTGTACCTTGGACAAATATTTGGGTTCAGCCCCAGATTCTGTGTGGAGGAGTTTTGTGGAGATATGTTTTGTAGTTCTCGTTCTATTTTTTTGCCATTTTAACAGGTGGATGCCCCCCATTTCTCCGTTGATAGCACTGTGTACTTTTATAATAGTAGAGAAATGTGCCCAAGGAAAGTCACTGTGGAAACCATATCTGGACCTCCTGCCTGAGATGTACAGCTGTCCGGTTTGTTTGGAGCAAAAAGTAGTGGACCTTTTTCCTGAACCCTTGAGAAGAAAGGCCCATGAGCAAAGAAAGCTGGTCCAGGAACTGTTTATTTCTTCCCAGCAGTTCTTCTTTTCCTTGCAGCCTTTATTTCATGAAGATGTTACGTCCGTTTTTAACTCTCAGGCATTCAAATGGGCTTGGTGCACCATTAATACCAGAACAGTATATATGAAGCACTCACAGAGAGACTGTTTTTCTAGAGACACAGATACATATGCCTTAGCCCCATACTTGGACCTACTAAATCATAATCCTACTGTCCAGGTAAGAAAATTGAAGGAGTGTATGGATGTAAAATGGGATGGATTAAGTGGGAACTATATCAAAACATTGCAGTGTGAAGTGCACTTCATTCTATTTCACCTCCATCATGTTTTTTTGCTCCCACCCTATAACAGCCAGAAATTTTCAGACTACTGAACCTCTAAAAGTAGCAACAGGGAAAGAGCTACAATCTGGCAGCATTATAAATAATAATAATAATAACAATAACAACTTTATTTATATCCTGCCCCATTTATATCCTAGAGGACTCGGGGTGGCTTACAAGACAGCAACAATGCAAACAAGAACAACATAAAATATACAACAATAACATACAAATGTGCAACATTTTGTGCGCTCTGGTATATTTATTTATTTGTTTTATGTCAAAAGCATTGCATAAATAAATTAGTATAAAACTGATAAAATAGAGAAAACACAAGCAGCTAAATAATTTCAGACCAAAAGTGGGCAACAGTGACTGCATTGTCTGTAGCTTTAAAGAGTTCTTCCTCTGTGCATGAAGCAGGGTGTTGTGGGCAAGCATACAGATGTGGAGTTGTTTGTTCTGCTCCACAGTTGCACAAGGTGGAGGATTCTTCAAGGTACTGCCATTTAGCCAAGTTTTCTTGATCTGCCCACTCTACTTCTGAGTCTATTCAGGGTCTTCCAGGTTGCCCATTCTTGGTTTGCCCCTGGAGGCAGACCCTAGTGGGGAGCCATCCAGTTGGGATTTTCTGGTTTAGCTGCTCAGAGGCATACTCTTGCTGTTGCTGGGAGAACATTACTTATTTATTATTTATTTGTCATATTTATATCCTATCCTTCTTAACCCCGAAGGGGACTCAGAGAAGTAAGTGCACATGGAGGCACATAAGGAGGACTGGTGGTTCTCATGAAACGCTTTCTTGATTTGAGTCTACTGGGAGGAGCCTGGTAGCCATGCAGTGGATGGCTTTCACAGTGTTCAGTCTTATTTCTCTCACAGTTGGCAGCAACTTCCCCTTGCATATTGGGGGGTGGGGGGAATGCCAGCTAGCTTATAGAGTCTATTAATAGATGTAGGTTTGAAACATCCTGTGATTATTAGACTGTTTGGTTTATTCCTCCTCTTCAGTAGAATGTTTTATTTGCAGAAATAAAAACTTTGTGGTTTATAGCGTAATGTTTCCTCCCTCTTGGTTTGGCATGGTACTATTTTAGCTATATGAGATTCCACTGTCAGACCTGGAGATCAAATTTCTGGTTTTGGGACTCTTCATAGGCTTGAACATTACTCAAAAATGGGGGTGAACCCCCCAAATTGAGACAGGATATGAGGAACCCAGAAGTTTACTTTTTGTTTTTAAAAATGTGTGTGTGTGTTTTAAAGTTGAACCATGTAGGGATCCCTGATCTCCTTTTTAACATGTAATTTGCTGTTCCTAGAAACGTCTGGGAGAGGCTCTTCTGCCTCCTTGCTTTTGCCAGAAAATGAGGTGGTCCTGGTGGGTCTTTGGAGCTGCAAAAGTGGCTTGTGGGAGCTGCAATTTGGGGGAACTGAGGCAGCACTCACAAGTACTGTATTCATTTATTTATTAAACTAAGTCTTCCCTGCGCTATGTCACAAGAGAACAGCAATGCAAACAGATTAAAAATTAAAATTAAAATGTATTAAATATAGGAACAAGGTGAAACAATATTAAAAATGCAAATCACTTCAAAGTAAGTCAGTTTGGTCCAAAGGCTTTAATAAACAACTGTGTTTTTACTTGGTTCCTAAATGAAACTAGTGTTGGTGTAATTTAGGTGTCTTAAGGGGGAAGCAATCTATAGCTGATGTGTCATGGCTGAGAGCACCCTTTGCATGTCATCACACAATTATTGACTTCACTGATTGGACACAAAAGATTCCTCTCCCCGGCATATTCTTCTTTTGTCGGCACAGGTTATATGCCTTCATTCCACCAGGCAGTAGAAGCATGGAATTTGATTGGCACATTGCGTCCTCAGTAATTGAAAAAATAGTAGTTCTCAAACAGTTTATGTATGTTTAAACATTTCTGCTCATAAACATGTAGTTTTCTCAACTTCCTCCAAGGTGAAAGCTGGCTTTAATGAAAAGACAAAGTGCTATGAAATAACAACACTTACACACTGTCAACATTACAACGAGGTTTTTATTTGTTATGGCCCCCATGATAATCAACGTCTGCTTCTGGAATATGGGTTTGTTTCCAGGGATAACCCACACAGCAGTGTTTATGTTGGAACAGGTAAGGTTGTGGTTTGATCCTCACCTTGATTGGCAATAAAGAATGATTGAAAGCTTAATAATGTAGTCGCTGAAGCTTGCTGGAGCTTTGAATTGCATCACATTTTAAGCCAAGGCAATTGTGCAACCTCCCGATATTGGTGGACTGCAACTCTTGTTATCTTTCACCACTGGCTATGCTGACTGCATCTGTTGAGAGGTGGAGTCAAACATCTAAGGGCCATCCACTTCACTGTAAAGGATCCAATACCTTTTCAGCTTGCTCTGCACTATGCCATAGCTTGATTTCAGTTCAATTTACATAATGTCTTGGATGAATAATAGTCTTGAAAAGTGAGTTGCGTAATTAGTCGCAAAACAAAATATTGCAAGAAACAATTTGCTTGGTCCTTTTAGTGGTTGCTGCCTTTGTCTTCTTGTTCACTTCTATATTTGAGTTGTAATAGTGTTGGGGGGGGGGCGCTATAATAAAACCTCCTAATTCAACCTGAGAAACCCGCATAAAGATCCTATGGACCATAAAAATACTTTTCGTTATGTGCTGGAGAAGGGAATATTTGCATATGAGGACATGCCTGGACAGGTTCTGAACATGCATTTCCTAATTAAAGTGCTTGACTTACCTCATTAGGGCCAATTCCACCTATCTCTCTTGTTTCATGCTCTTTTTCCTCTTGGTTCTCACTTGGCCTAGACCAGCTTTGCCAGTATGAGAAACCCTTTAGTTCCCTCAATAAACATATTATTTTCCTTCTTTTCTCTCTGACTTTATTTTTTGATAGTCTTTCCTGCCACTTTCTGTTCATTCTTCCATCTCCTAACACTTCTGATTATTGCTAGGCACTAGGAGTTTCCCTCATGGTCATCATATTTGAGTTTGCTAAATTCAAGAAAAATATTTCCAGTATTATGCAGATGATGAGCTCATAATATAAACTGTGTGTAGCATTATGAAAGGGCTGACCAGGTTCCTGCTCAAAAACACTTATTTTAGAGTTCCTTTAGAGGTGGGGAATGGAAGGTTTGGATTTCTTATATTCTTTGGATATAAAGCAGGCGTGTAAATCTGCAGTCCCAAGTGTTTTGGCGTGAATTTAGGAAAATGAGATGCAGTGAAAGTAGTCAAATGATGTACAACTCCTACACAAATAATGTTAATAAGACTCAAGGGAAAACCATCAATATACCAATATAACAGTAATCCAAGTTCATGTTCCACTACTGAAACAGAAGAAGAAATTGAAAGAGTTGATGCTGCAGTCCAGGGAGAAATTGATCTCATACCAAAATAGGATGTGTTGTTAATATGGGTAATTGGAATTCTGAACTAGGTAGCAGAGCACTATTAAAGATTGTAGAAAAATTTGGACCAGGATCACAAAATGTAGCAGAAGAACAACTGATTGAATGTTACCTGATGGTTAATATAAAAATCAAATAGACCAAGTATTTGGAAGCAGGAGATGGAGAAGCTCCATTCATTGCATCAAGAAGACCAGGAGCTAATTGTGGGATCACAAAGTGCTAATATCAAAAAATAGAGTAAAACTAAAGAGGAACACTAAGGCTTGATCTACACTGTCATATAATCCATATTATCAAAGGAGACAATACTGGATTATTTGAGTCTATACTGCCATATAATCAAGTTCAAAGCAGATAATTTTGATTTTATATAGCAGTGGAGATGGGCTCTAAGACAACCATATGCCAAAATATAATCTAAAGAACATCCCCATAGAATTCAAAATACAGTCAGCCCTCCACATTTATGGATTTGACTTTTTTGGATTTGATTATAATGTTTTCTATAGGAATCTCAAGTCATCCAGTATAACTCTGTGGTCAGATTCTGGTGGAAGCTGACCATGGAGTCAGGATGGAGGACTTAGGGAGGTGTGCTCTTTGGTTAAACCCCCCCCCCCCGTTTTTTAATTGTGGTTTTTCACTTTTGTGGGGGTCCCGTGCCCATAACCCCAGCAAATGTGGTCTGACAGTAATTTTAAAATAATGTGTAGTATTAAGGCTAATTGACGGAGCCAGAAAACTCTGGACTGAAGCCAGAGATATTGACAGGGAGGAATGCAAAAAGATACTACCTCCAGCTGAAAAGAAAAGCCTGAATGGATGAGAGATTACATTGTTTGAGCAATTAAGGACAAATGAGCAAAAGTAGAAAAGTGACAGAAATAGGAGTACAAATATGTGACTTGTATGTAGGGACAAAAAGAACTACAGTGTTCAATACAGAGAAATGGAAGACAACAACAAAAAGACAGAACTGAAAAATCAAAGGAAATTTTTCATCAGGAGGAGAGATGCTCTGATGAGCAGGAAAAATAAATAAATGACCAAGTAGAATTTAAAAGACAATAGAAACAATGCACTGAAATGTAAAAGAGGTGAAGGGATGATAGGTTCAATCGAGGAAGAACCTACAATTTTAGAAAGTGAAGTAGAAGCTGCATTCAGAGAACTTGGGAGAAATAAATCATGAACAGATGGCATGCCAATAATTTTTTGGCAGTGTAGGAAAAAATAACATTTGCATTACAGATGGATAGACTCCATCAATGCCCTGAGTCTGAAAGACCTGAGCTGAGCTGACAGGGTGACTTGAAGGTCTCTCATGTAAATTCAAAAAGTTGACTTGAGGGCCGTCAACAACATGAAAGCTCTTTGCTACTCCTCTGAGATAGAAAAGCCAGATATGATGTGGAAAACAGCTTTGCCTGCACTTGCCCTGCGCCTTGAGATAGTACAGATGCCCTAAAGCTAGCCAGGATGATCTGTTATGTTAGAATTATATGAATTCCCACCCACAAGTGAAAACGAGTGCTTTCATCTTGTTACATTCTAGATTCTGAGAGGAAATATGTATCATAATTTTAAAAATAATTAATATGCCAGACATTTTTTTTACTATACTTATTTAATTTTTGAAATATTTTGTTTTCTTTAGATACATTGCTTAAAAATGTGCTTCCAGAAGACAAACAAAGGCCTAAGAAACTTTCCATCTTACAAGAACACAAACTTTTGGAGTAAGTTCTGCATAAGTGTAAACAGGTCCAAAGTTTAGGCCCAGAATTTCCTCCTTTCTGGGGGTTTGCTAAATAATGCTGGAGCATTATACTGTATAAGAAAAAAGGCCAAACAAGATCATACTCGATTTCATTTAATATTTCTAGTTTTTTGTATGGCTCTTGTTCCTGGAGGTGAATAATTTGTTAATTTCGTGTAATACAGTTCATTTTCTGAAATACAGTATTTCCAGGGCTGTCCAATTCACATGACTGGGTGCATCTTCATTTTCATACAATCTTTGTAACTTTGTCAGATGCATCTGGTGAATATTTTGTATGTTATATGGATTAAGATAAGCACATTATGATCCATTGTCTACGTGCAGCTAGGCAACATTCATGTCTGTTCCGCCTCTGACCAAGTAGAATGCATTCTAATGATCACACAAGTCTTTAATGGAAATTGGGGCTTGCTCTTAAAATTCAGCATCAAACAGCCATATAAAGCTTGTTCCTCTGCATTCTCTCCATCCCTCTTACAAAGTCCTGAAGCCAGATCTTATTTTTTTCTTTTTTTATCACAACTGGACTTAATGGCTGCAATTCTTGTGTATCAGGTCCCATCATTCTTTGCCCTTTGACCTTTTCCTTGCTTTCACTTGCTGTGTCTGCTCATAGTGACTGGCTGTTGTTACTTCTCTCATCACCAATCACCTTGGTATGACATATTCTGTATTAAGTGGATGTGGAAGGAAAATCTTAAACCTTTAAATGTATATACAGGGTGAGGTAGCATAACTTCCTTTTTTCAAAACTTAATAAAACTCATTGTATGAATCAGAATTTTTTTATACATTTTTATAATGTAGGCGCATACCTACATTATAAGTTTTGTTTTACATAGTTTTGAAGATCAAATTAGGTAGGTGACATCCCCCATTCTCCATTCTCCATACACTGAGTAAACCGATTTCTGGCATTTGTCATGATTCTTGCCAGCATAGCAGGCGTTATGTTGGCAATTTCTTCCTGGATGTTGGTCTTCAAATCTTGTAGGGTCCTTGGGCGGTTCACATAAACACGGGATTTCAAAAAAACCCATAGAAAAAAAATCACAAGGGGCCAAATCTGGAGAGCGGGCTGGCCACTCCAAATCCACTTGAAAAGTAGGCCTCAACGGCAAAAGCACGCTCCTCACTGTTCCAATGCATGATGGTGACTGAACTGTGTCAGGACAAAACTTTATACTCTCGCTTCTCAAACGAGACCACTAGCGCTCCGCTACGTCTTCAACCGACTGAATGGCGCGCATTTTAAAAAAGGAAGTTATGCTTCCTCACCCTGTAGAAGTGGGGAAATAATTCAATTTATAAAGATGAGAAAAGAAAGAAAAATCATGTTTTTCCCATTTCTGGCAGACACTGTTAGACAATGTCAATCCTAAAAATTAAACTCTGCAAATCCTGGCATTAGATGTTTCTATGGAGTTTTAGATTTATGAACCAAAAGAGGTAGATAACCAGTATTTTATTTATGGGTACCCACTATATAGCTAAATGTAAAGGTTTCCCCTTGATATTAAGTCTAGTTGTGTCTGACTCTTTAGGGTGGTGCTCATTTCCATTTCTAAGTCAAAGAGCCAGCGTTGTCCATGGACAGCTCCAAAGTCATCTGGCCAGCATGACTGCATGGAGTGCTGTTACCTTCCTGCCGGAGTTGTACCTATTGATCTACTCACATTGGCATATTTTTGAACTGCTAGGTTGGCAGAATCTGGGGCTAACAGTGGGAGCTCTTCAGATTTGAACCGCTGACCTTTTGGTCAGTAAGTTCAGCAGCTCAGCAGTTCAACCCAAGGTGCCACCAGGGGCTACCCACTATATATGTGGGATTTAATTTTTTTTTCTAATTATTTTCCTTTTTTCTGTCTCTAGTGATCTCACATTTGGCTGGGATGGTCCCTCTTGGAAGCTTCTTACTGCTCTCAAACTATTAAGTCTTGAAGCAGACCAATTGTAAGTTGCAGATGTTCAATGAAAATGATTACTAACGCAGACGTTTTGAATGTTGTTGAGCTTTGGATGTTTGATTTAGAAGCATGATACATAGCTAATGTGTTTTCAAACCTTTTGTTTGTAGTACTTCCTGGAAGAAAGTGATCCTTGGTGGGGTAGTATCAGAGGTAAATGAAAAGAAGAGTTTGGATCTTGCAACAGAAATATGTATGTCTTTGATCAAGGAAGCTCAGCATGCCCTTCAGAAGGTAGTTATTTGAATTCTCAGACTGTTGCTATAAATGTTTTGAGATTGGATACTATGAAATCCCATTGTAACACAAAATCTAAACAATTTGTGTGTAAGACATTAAGAATGACAAACTTTACGATTCATTGAAGGATCGAAGAATTTGCAAATTTGCATCCATCATTTCATCTTAACTAGTTCTTAAAAGTATTCCAAAAGAAAAAAAGCTAAAAAGTAAGGTGTTTGACTTTCATGGGTCTTTAAGAAGACAGAACGGTGGATTTAATTTGCTTCAGTTGTCAACGGTATCTGCTTATTTGGATAATGTTAATCACCGGGAATGTTATGCTTTATCTTTTTGCTTCTTCCTTTTCAGGTTTCTCTCTTAAAACATGATTATGAATATTTGAGCACTCAGCTAAATTTGGTAGAGGCATTGCGTACGGAAGAGCTAAGAATCTTACAGCGATCACTTGAGATGCTTCAATGCTTACCGACCAAAACAGTTTGATCTTCAAAGAAAACAGCACCTCAGTAATTCCGATTGGATCTTCAGAAGCCACATATCTATTTATTATTTCTTTACTATAAAAATGTACTTCCTGTCTTTCTTTGCAAAGCAGGCACTGGGAGATTTGCTGCAACTTATGCCAGATAGGATTTTCAGTTAAACACTTTAAAATCAAGTGTGGGAGGTCTGTAAGCAAGATAGATGGATTCATAAATGCTAACATTGAATGAAAAGTAAGGGAAGTTCACAGGGAGAATGATGAATCCAGGTATACAAAGGCCATTCCAGGGTGCAAGTATCATGAAGTAGATGTCTTTTTTTGTCTCCATTCTCTCAATATTCAGTTACAATGAAATTACAAGGGGGCTCTGAAGAAGATAAGTAAAATTCCTGTCTTTGGAGGTTCTGAATTTCTGATTTAGAATCCTGATCATTTTATCTTGTGATGCTCTGAAGAGCTATGAGACTTAAGGGCCAATTTTCTCTTCTGCACTGACAAAATGTTTCATGTCATTCATTTATTTTATTTATTTTACAGTATTTATATTCCGCCCTTTTCACCCCGCAGGGGACTCAGGGCGGATTATAATGTACACATATATGGCAAATATTCAATGCCAAAGAGACACAACAGATATAGACAAACAGTCAGAGGCTATTTAACTTTTTCTGGCTGCCAGGGGAGCTGTCGCTTTCATCGTCCATATGCGACACTGATGAAATACTTCCGCATTCCCTGCATGCTTTTTTGCTGGAGTGTTTTGCTTGTTAAATTAGCCTCCCCACACATAGGTGGTACCTAATTTTCTTACTTGACAGATGCAACTGTCTTTCGGGTTGCAAAGGTCGACAACAAGCTACACAACTGGTCGGAAGCTCACTCCGACCCCGGCTGGCTTCGAACTCATGACCTTGTGGTCAGAAATGATCTTAATGCAGTTGACACTCAGACAGCTGCGCCACATCTCCCCTTCTGGTACAAGAGCATGGCATCACTAATTCATTTTACAATGGTTGGCTAATAAATGTTGTGTTTCATCCCTGACTGCACAAGTCTCCAGACCTCAATGAGTAGTTAGCCTAGATAGATTAGAATGAGGGATTTCCTCCCCATATTTCTCAGGCATGCTTTTCTCAAGAAGGGGCTTAGATTTGTTTTACTCATCTTGCATGCCACTATCTCCTCCCCTTTTGAATACGTGATCCCCTGAGGAAACGTAGCTTCTTCTTTAAAGGTATTTTTATTGTCCTGGTGAGGCCATGTGGTCAATTCTCCATTTTTGGCCTCACACTTCTTACCTTTTGTTCTGCTAGAGTGAGGAGGCATCTTGCCATTGTCCAGGCAAGATGCAGTAGATATAACTATTTTGTTATTTTTCCCTTTTCCTTTCCTTAGAAGATAGCTTAGTGAACCTAGTTAGCTCCAAGAACCTTTCCCATCAAGAACGGATTTCTTTTGTCTTTCATAAACATATTCTTTTGGATCCTATGAAGTTGTGGATCCTCAATCCTGTTCCATCCTGTTGAAGGGAAACCAATCCTTGCTCTTTATACGTAAGTTTCTGCTGGTTATGAACTGTGCTTCTGGCACTCTGCTATATTTTTGTGGAATCACCCCCAAGTGAGGGTTATTTTGAGCCTAACAGCTCCTGATTCCCAACAATAATGACTAGGACAGTTCAATGACTCAGGAAATTATTAAGTAATTCAACTAAACTATAAAAGGTATTTCAAGTTACTTCTTTGCTTCTCCAAGGTGCCAAAAAGCTGGATTTCTCTTCTGTCTGTCTTTGTCCTGTCCGAAACGGCATTGGATGTTTACTGTATATGTGCAATGTGATCCACCCTGGGTCCCCTTGGGGAGATAGAGCTGAATATATATAAATAAATTATTATTATTATTATTATTATTATTATTATTATTATTATTATATGACATCCAGGCTCTGTGTTCTTTTGAGGTCCTAAAACATTTCAGAACTTGAAGTCTCAGACACCTGGAGGACTAAAGGTTGGGAGCCACTTCTCTAGAGAGACTGAAACTGAATGAATGTTAATGCTTAACGATTGTCCCAAGCAAATGATTTTCCAATGTATTACAGTAGATTGAGAATAAAGACAGCAAAGGCAAGATAAAACAGATCACTACAATTACAAAGCATTGCCAAGGACAGGTTCTGACAGTAGTAGTCTCTTGAAACCACACCTGAAAGCATGTGTGATGTTGTAAAGGTCTTGCAGAATACACAGTGTTCCCAGAACAATGACCATTGTTTTTTTAAAAAAATATGTAACTCTACCTCATGTTAACGGTATCAATCTCTAAATAATTATGCTGAAATGAATAAATAATGATTGATTTATCTAAATAAGACTGCTTGTCCATGCCTACTCTTTCAGAATGGATGATCCCACCCATGGCAGATTTTATTTGTAAAGCTTGCGGTAAAAGTTATTTCCACTTACTATAGCAGTGCCTCATTCTCTTTTACTTTTTGAGCAGACTTTGAAATTTGTATTAAAAAAAAACCAATCCCTTTTCAGTTTTCTTCTGTCCTTTTGGATCATCTTTGATCTACCTTTTGTGACAAAACCTATAAAATATACTCCACATGCATTGGAAAATTCAGTAAAGAAAAATAATTGAAACCACAATTTCTATTCTGCCTTGGTCAGACCACATCTGGAATACTGTGCCCAATTCTGAGCACCGCAGTTTAAGGAAGATGTTGGCAAGCTAGAAGGTGTCCAGAAAAGGGTGACTAAAATGATCAAGGGTTCTGGAGAACAAGCCTTGTGAAGAGTGGCTTAAAGAGCTGGGCATATTTAGCCTGCAGAAGAGAAGACTGAGAGGAGGGGGAGTCATATGGAGGAGGGAGCAAGCTTGTTTTCTGCTGCCCTGGAGATTAGGACGTAGAACAATGGCTTCAAACTACAGAAAAGGAGATTCCTGGAACATTAGAAAGAACTTTCTAATTGAGAGCTGTTCAGTAGTGGAATTCTCTGCCCCAGAGTGTGGTAGGGGAGGCTTTTAAGCAGAGGCTGGATGGCCTTTGATGGTCTGGGGGTGCTTTGAATGCGATTTTCCTGCTTCTTGGCAGAGGGTTGCACTGGACGGCCCATGAGATTTCTTCCAACTTTAGGATTCTATGATTCTTTGTTCTGTGTTGAGATGGCTTTATTTTAGGTTGTACATAAATTGACCTGGCCAACCATATTGCATAGCATATCAGCTCTAAAAGAGAAAGTTAGCCTGAAAACTCAACTCATGGCCATTCAGCCTCTGCTTACAAACCTCCAGAGGAGGAGACTCCATAGAAGCGCACCCTCTGTCATACAGCTCTTACCATCAGGATGTTCTTCCTAATATTGAAGTGGAATCTTTTCCTGCAATTTGAATTCACTGTTCCATGTCAGCCTCCTGATCAGCAAAAAATGAGCTTGCCCCCCTCCTCAGTGTGATATCCTTTCAGATATTTAAACATGGCTATCATGTCCCCTCTGTTCACATACATACATGCAATCCATATCCTTTCCTCCCTCCAAAAACAAATAGGTGGTAATGAAGGGGCTCCAATGTAGGGGCACAGGCTCACCAGCACTCCAATTGCACAAGCTTAGTAGTCCCCTCAAAGGTCCAGGCAGCAGTACAAGGAGGAGGCCATATGTTGGATTCATACTACACAGGCTTTTATCGCGGGCCTAGCAATAATGATAGAATGCAAACTGAAATGGGGTTGCAAGGGACACTTTCACAGGAAATTCAAAACATATTCTTATTGGTGTACAGCAATCAATCATTTCATTGGTCTAAGCTGACTATACAGATGTTCATTGGCTCTTTATGACTTTGACAGGGATGAAGGCACATGTGGGACCTTAATGGCACAACTACAGTCTATTGTTCTCTGGCCATAAACACTCAGTTGGAAAGTATAGGTCGGTACTTCAGGCAGCTGAGAAATTAAGGGAGTATTAGGGAGTACTTTCTGTCCAACTCTGGCCCTTGGCAGCTCTTTCTCTACACATCAGCATTTTTGCAAACAAAGGCCCTTTGCAAAAGCAGACACATAGGATTTTCAATAATAAGAAGCATACATGAAAATCCCTTTTAAAACTACGTCTCTCTCAGTAATAATCCTTCTCTTTCTGCAGAGGTTGTAGGCAAATAGCAGATGACTGATGTTTTTGACTTCAATTAATTATGGTTTATGATGCCAAATTAGTTTTTTAGAATAGAAATTAGAAAGGAAATACATTTCTGAAACTGAAAAGAAAACCATCAAGCTAAACCAGCATTTGTTGCACCTTGTTGCTAAAAGATTCATGTAAATATCGAAAACAGCCACTAGGTGGCATTCAGAACCCTTTTACTTTTACCAAATATTTCACAATTCCAACATTGAGCTGCTAACTGGACCCTATTTTGGGTCATGACCCACAGTTTAAGAGGCTTTGTTCTAACTCACCATTCAAACCACTGCACCATGTGGGCTCTCTATTGACCCCTAGAGGAATTAATTCAAAACTGAGTTATAAAAGCAATCAAATTTTCTCCCATTTCTTTACGTGTTTCAACAAATAGCTGGCTTCATCTCTGAATAAAATCCAGTTCTATGGAGGTTTTTTTAAGCATTTGCCCATATACATCTGGAAAGAATTATTGAACAACTTCTAGCATATACCAGATTTAAGTATTTTGTAAGATTTACCTTTTGTTACCAACATATATTTTAAAAACAGATAAGAGGAATGATCTGTTATACCATGTTACAACCTTTAGATAATATGCTGAAACAAAGTATACAAAGGAAACTATTGCGTAAGATGTAATAATGCCACAGGAAAGAGGATGGATGCGTTCTGCACTCTTCTCCCAATAGATGCCACTGCATTTTTTCTTTCCAGTCATTGCTAATAGGATGCTCATGGAAAAAAGAGGGAATGTGGTGATCTTACAAGCTCCCTTGATATCATTTTACAGCCATCATTAGACTGGTTTTTAGTTTCCCAGCTTCAGCTATAAAATGTAGGAATCATTTATCATGGGTTAGTGCTTTTAGACCTGTCTATTCAGGAAAAGATAAGATAGTATCAACTTTCAAACTCTGTTAATTAAAGCTTTTAAGTACATTATGAATGAAATGTCAAGAGATGACACTCACTGGGGGGAAAGATCTTTAAGTGATTTCTTCAAGGATTCACTGTTCTTAGAAGTGAACTAGTCCTTAGAAATATGAAGCCCTGTAGAAGAAAGGGACTTTTTAACAGCATGAATTATATAAAGTAATTTCCAGCATACCGAGCACAGATAAAGATGATAACAAAGGGAAATGGAAGAAAATGTTAGCATTCTGGCAAAGTACAACATGCCAAACTTGTTTAATTGCAAATGCAGGCTGGAATTGTAATGAGGATGGTAAACATTGGCTCTGTTTTATATCTACCTGGGGCAATTTTTGCTTTTCTGTTAACAGCACATAGAGATTCCTAACATTTTATGGTTGAAAGTGCAGCCAACAGAATCTTTAGATAGTTTGATAAACATAAAAGCAAGTAGAATGTGGGCTGAATTTTATTGTCACATACTGAATGAAATTTAGATTAGTGGTTTAAAGTACTGGTCAACACACAATTCTCAAAGCAGTGTGTATAGAGCAGTGGTGGGGGAATAAACAGAAGGTTGCCCTTAACAATTGAACTCTGCAGTGGGATGTCTGAGAAGGCTGTCATCAAGGTCAGACTGGATGGGTGAAGAACAAGAGACAAGCTCAACTGAGGCAAAAAGATTCCAGTGAAAAGTCCATCTCAGCGGTACTCTGTCATCCAAATGGTTGATACAATGAATTGTATAAATCTGTATGACCAAAATTTATTTATCTATAGTGTCAGGAAGTGATTTGAGGGTATAATTGTAATGTATTTAAAAACACAGATAAAATTAAAAATTTGGCACCACACTAAATGTCCTTTGAACAGGAGCTGGCCAGTTGGAGTGTCTCTGGTGTTGCTGTAAGAAGGTCCTCCATTGTGCATGTGGCAGGGCTCAGACTGCAACGTACTGTAGTAGATGGTCAGTGGTTTGCTCTTCTCCATACTCACATGTTGTGGCCCCATTTCTTAAGGTTGGCTCTGCATCTCGTGGTGCCAAAGCGCAGTCTGTACAACACCTTCCAAATCACCCAGTCTTCTGTGTGCCAAGGAGGGAGTCCCTCATTCGGTATCAGTCATGGCTTGAGGTTTGGGGTTTTAGTCTGCCACTTTTGGACTCTCGTTTGCTGAGGTGTTCCTGTGAGTATCTCTGTAGATCTTAGAAAACTATTTCTTGATTTAAGGCATTGGCCTGCTGGCTGATATCTGAACAGAGAATGGGCCAGAGATGTCACTGCCTTGATTCTTTCATTACTGGCTGCTACTTCCCAGTGGATGTGAGGTGATGCAATACAAACCAAACAGTATAATTTCTCAAGTGGTGTGGAGAAATGATACCGTATGATCAAAATGGTGAATCATTGTTCCCTTGCGGCATAGTCATGAATCCGTGTCTCTGCAGAACCTGTGGCCATGTACTTCTATCAGTCCTTACCTGCATAGCAAATGATCAGGAATGATGGAAGTTGTAGTTAATGGCAACCAGAGAGTGAGAGCTTCTTCACCCAATTTTACAGGTAACAAAAACCTAACGGTAACCATATATGTAGGGCAGTGACCTTATATTTCTATTTGTGTTGAGCAGTGTGACTGATCTCCTCTTAAGGTTGATTCCACGATTCCAAACCCTTGGGGTCCTATCACTCACCTCACCCCTCTTTCCCTCAAGATCTCTCCCTGATTGGACATTTGGCCTTAAGGTGAAAAATAGCTACCAGAATTGATAGATGGGGTTCAAGCTAGCTTTCTATGATGATCAAAATGATGTTGGGTCTGTCTGAAATCATTAGAAAAGACCAATATTATATAAAAGCTGTAATTATGAGGCAAGTTGACCTTCACTTTTCTCGATTTGTGAGCAAGGCAAAGTGCTCAATTCAATAGAATTCTGTAGAAGCAATTAATTATAATATTTTGCCTTTAATATCTAGAAGTCACTGTTGCTTTTATAATAGTACACTAGAGGGTGTATGTGTACTGCAGACGAAGGTTTCTTAACAAAAGTACTGCTCGAAAACAATTTCCTCACAAAATAACAGTGTGGAGTTCTTTGATGATTTCTGCATTTCCAGAAACAAAATAGAAAATGAAGTCAATACATACATTCTAAATTTTAGGATACATGTTCTGCAACGTGTTATTGTTGAAGGATTTCATGGCTGGAATCACTGGGTTGCTGAGAGATATTTGGGCTGTATGATCATGTTCCAGCATCATGCTC